GACGTGATGTTGACAAATGATTTCAAAATCAACGAATGTGATAAATGTGTTTATGTTAGGGGTACATCAAATACATTTGTGATTGTATGTCTATATGTAGACGATATGTTGATCATGGGGAGTAGCCATGAAGTGATCATGGATACAAAAAGAATGTTGAAAAAAAATTTCGACATGAAAGATATGGGTTTGGCTGATGTTATTTTTGGAATAAGGATTATCAGAACCCAAGATGGAATTGTCTTGTCACAATCTCATTATGTAGAGAAAGTGCTCAAGAAATTTGATACCTATGACGGTGCACAGTCTAGGTGTAATGTTGGGCTCAGATGCGCAATGCGGAAGATGTAAATTAAAATATCAAGGTAAAATGGTGAACAATAATCCCGATCCCAGCAACTCAAGAATGACAAAAGAAAATCTCTTGCAATAAAACAGGAATAATTCTTTTCTGATGTGGAAGATCAGATTAGACTGCAACCACAGAGCATACTAAGAATATTTCAAATAAATAAAATATGCAAGAAATAAGACACCAAGATTTAACGTGGAAAACCCTCCAAATAGATGAAAAAACCACGGGACAACCTCCGAACAATTTCACTATATTTTCAAGATAATTACAATATCTTTTCACACTCCCTTACACTAGAAATGTAAAATATAGTGACCCAGTGAGAACCCCACTCTTAAACAAAGAGTAATAGAATTGATACCCAACCCGATGTATTTTTCCCACACCCACAGGATTTACTCAAACACTCTATTTTTATCTCACTAAAAAATAACACACACAGAAATACTATTTTTGCACTCTCATGTTCTCTCTTTTTTTCTTCTCGCTTGGTGCAATCTTCAGCTCTGCCCATTGCTCCCTATTTATAGGGATGAAATGCAATGTAATTCAGATCAAACCTGTACCGAATACCGCTGCCCAACACATGCCACGATATCATTTTTTATTTGTTTATTATTTTTCCCATGTGAACAACTCACAAGATCCTTTTGCTGCCAAAATTCTGATTCTTTTTCTTTTGGTTTTATTGTGGCTGGACCCCACAATTCTCCCCCTCCAGCCAAAGGGTAATATTCTGCAAGTCTCACATGCATTCCATGCCGATCAACTCAGCACAAAGCTGAAGCTTTCCTCATGTTACAACTTTCGTCATCATGTCAGCAGGATTCTCGTCAGTGTGAATCTTTTCCAACTTGAACTGTTGTTCATCCACTACTTGACGTAGCCAATGATATCTGACATCAATGTACTTCGTGCGAGAGTGGTACATCGCATTTTTACTCAAATCCAATGCGCTCTGACTATCACAATGGATATCGTACCTTTCCTGCTTCATTCCCAATTGTTGAAGAAACCTCTTCAACCAAAGCATTTCTTTGCCTGCTTCTGTCATAGCAATATACTCTGCTTCAGTAGTTGACAAGGCAACAAATTTCTGCAATTTAGATTGCCAAGATACAGCTCCCCCTGCAAATGTAAACACAAACCCTGAAGTAGATTTTCTACTGTCC